ATGCATAGTTGAAAGGCTGCTCTCTCTTCCTAGCTTTTGCAGAAACTGCTTATTATCAGTTATTACTATTATTAAGGAAGAATGCAAACTCAAAATGTTTTGACATACTTATCAAAGTTATTTTGCTTCAGGTAAACTTCAGGTGCTTTAATACTTGCCTGTGATTCGGCTCAGCTAAGCACCTGAGATGAAAACAGTTTGCGTAATTTTGACCATTGGAAAATGTTGTATATCTGGTTAGTGAGAGGTTCAATGCCAATCCATGCACAGTTTTGCTTCATGTTACTGACAACAAATATATTGGTCAGGGGTCTTGTGGTGCTCCGATATCAGCATAATGTTCACCAATTCTAGGTCTGATTTTATGGGGATGTATAAGGAGCAAATTACTTGGCCACTATCTGATCAAATAGAGCCTCTGTTGGTGCTGCTTCTCTCCAGAAAGCAGAGACGGAGCCAAGGTGCTCAATCTGCACCATCCATCTAAACTTTCAGAAGACTAAAATTAATTGAGATGAATCCTGTCCATTTAACAACATACATGCCCTCAAAAACCCCCATAACTTTTTTTTTTTTTTTTAGTTTAGTTTAGGCGACTGCTCCATTTTTACTTTTCTAGGGGCTAAAAATTGATTATACAGCAAATCTGATTTTCTTTAAAGAATACTATTTACCCGTATAAAGATATCAGAGCTGCATTGTTATCACAAAGACTTTATTCACTGTGATGGGATATTACACCAAGGTGTTTGGCTCCAGTACAAAACTCACTGTGTCAGGTAAGTTACATGCTATTTTCCATACAATAAGCTATAGGAGCTTGGTGTGGTCATATAGATGAGTGTTATAGTGTCCCAGAGGGCACTCAGCCTGCTTAGAGCCTCAGTCGGCACCATCCTTGCGCAGGATTCCACTCCCCAGCTTGTTATTCCTAAAATAAGCCTTGTTGTATTTGTAACGCAGTGGTTTAGGATCATAAACATTTCTGAAAAGGAGCTAATTTGAGCCACTTTTGATCATAGTCATCCTTGGAAACGTGGAGGAAAATGACCTGTAGTAGTTTCCAGAGTCCTCATTCTTTCCTCCAGCTGTACTGAAGGAATAAGAAGGGAATCAAGCAGCTGTGACTTAAGCATAAAAAATGAAAACCTCTTCCCAATACAGATACAAAGAGCAACAGGCAATGGCCGTTGCCAAAATCCTTTTTTAATTAGGCTAACAAAAGTGAAATAACTTGTCCATAATCATTTTTGCCATATACACAGCACTTTGGTGGTAGAAATACCACCAAATGTTCTTATTGCTCAATAACATGCAGATGAACAAGTGATCCATTTTTTTGCCTTTCCTGCAGAGATATTTATTTTAGTGGAAAGTGGAGGGCAAAAATCTTCTTTTTCCCATTAACTGTGCTTTAAATGCCATAATCCTGGAGTAAACAACTACACAAACAGAAAGCAGAGTAACTATTGCTACCAAACGTTTTAATCCTGGTTAAATACATAAATTTACATTAGCATATCAAGCAAAGATTGTTTTTAATTATTTATGTCAGAAAGATTAAGTAAATCATAACTATAATTCAATAGAAATAGCTGTGTCAGGATAAGCATTTTGTTTTTACTGAAAATCCTTACCTTGTTAATCAGGTAGTTGCCATGCTTTTAGTATCTACAGTGTAAAATAAATTATTTTCAAGCATCACTCTAATTCTGTAGGATTTTGTCTTTATGAGGCCAAGGCTTCTGACTGATTAATAGAGTAAAAGGCCTGTTGTTACCTCACACTGAAGATCAGGCATTTCATCACAGCTTGTCTTTTCAGAGGTGACTATCCAACATTAGCTCAGTAAGTTACTCCTCGTGGGAAGGAATGGAGAAAACCAGGACTTAGGATAAGTAACCTTAATTCAGTTGAATCATCGGGGTTTGAGTTTGAACAGAATCTTTTCCCAGATCTATAGTGAAAGAGTAAAATAATATAAAGAGCCAAACTCCCATCAACTTGTAATGAACTTGATTTTGTTCTTTTTGGTCTCTTTTAATTAGTTCTGACCAAAAGGAAGTTGCTTGAGACTTAAAATAACACAGGTTAACAGAAGGGCTGGGATTTGAGAGACTCGTTTGGCATTTGCATTTGGTGGAACAGATGAGTTTTTAGAACCTTACAGCAGAACAGGAATATTAATCCAACATAAACTGGCAATACAGGATTCTTCTGTAAGTATCTTTCCAAGGAATTTAGGCACTCACAAGGTTGCAACAGGGAAGTCAAGACTGACCTGAAGACTGAACCAGCCTCTCCAAATCCTGTTTTTTTTCCTTCAGCACAGAAGCAAGAGTGGCTTGCTCAGCCAGCATGGGGCTGGTTTGTCTCTGCTATCTCTTGTGCTACAGCTGCAGCTGGGTCTCCCTGGCAACTGACAGGCATATTGCTAACTGATTTTGAAGTGACAAAAAGAACAATCTACTAACACTTCTAGGAAATAATTTCATAACAGAAATTGTGGCAGCAATATTTGATTTCTTTAAATGCTATCTCCTAAATATTACTGAAGTATCTACCTTGTTTTCATCAAATGCATTGAAGTTCAGAGTTCAAAAAGCTACAAATTTTTGTAATTCTATGTTATAAAATATACATTGCCTAAAGATAGATTATACTTAAATTTATTTACACATTACCTGAAATTGGATTAAACTGACTTTCTACCCTTTTAAATCAAAATGGTGAAGATTAATGTATGCATTAGTTTGCATTAGTACTTTTTTTTAACAGGGAAAACATGAACCCCTGAATCAAAACCTAGTAGACTTGAAAGTCCAAATGAGTGTTAGGACAGAAGGATGGACCTGCAAGACATAAATAAGGGAAGATGTGGCCACTCAAAAGAAATCTGCAGAGTGAAAGCCTGTTACCATGACTAACATTAATAGGAACATTTCCGAACAGCTATAAAATTTCAAGGATTTCATGGGCATGAAGATGAGTTCAGTATCCAATTCTTTTAAGGCAATGTTCACAAACAGGTTTCAGTGTGAACATTCCCCTGTTCATAATGGTCTCTGTTATCTTAAAGCCATGGCCCAAAAAGATCAGCTTGAACTGGTGACAGCATGCAGTGCTAGGTTCTTGTTGTAGGATATATAGTTGTACACAGATGTACATGCAGATATATATATAAATGCATGATTTTCCATGTTGTCAAGGTGCTAACCTTTACTGTTCCTCATGTTTTCCATAGAAACCCCAGAGGATGCTAAGTAGTCTCAGTCTAGAAAATTACTAATCTCAGGTGTGCAGGATCTGCTTAAATACTTCTGTGATTTTGAATGCCCTCTGTTAAATTAGGGCTCCATCGTCCATTTTGTCAGTATTCCAAATCCTTAGTTTTTGTGTACATGCAAGCTTATTTATTTAAACCTGAAAGACTAATGTAATTGAAAACTGTTGTATGAGGAAACATGGGTTCATCCCTACACCATTTTGTAAGGAAAGTTAACTATAGAAATCAGAGTGTCAAAAGAAACTGGTGCATTTCTAATAGGAAAACTAGGTTAGGCTGGGACACAAAATGAGGTTTTAAAAACATTAAGACTAGGTGGGTTTTTGCAAAACACTTGTATCCAGTGAATATTACAGTCTTCAGAACTGGCACAAAGCTTATTGTTTCTGGTAAGATTTTTAGTATCTAAGAAAATATGCCTTATTCTGATAATCCAAAATCTAGAGGAAAGGGAATGTGATACGCTATTTTAAAATATTTATAATAGATTAAAATGCAGATTTAAAAGTATAATACAGAAAAGTGATGTGGACTTTGCAGTAGCAGAATTAATTTCTTTACCACCCAAATGCTTGTATAAGAGAGGTCAGGGTAAACTATAGGACTTAACATAAGCCATAAATTGCTGAAATATAACTTCTTTTGGATACTTAGGGCTACATCAGGTCATTCCCTTGTGCAAAGCTTACTGCCCAGAGCAGCAGAATCGGGGTAATCCAGAAATGCAGCTGTAGATTGCCCCTTGGCCTCAGAGCAGGGGGAATTGAGGTGCTATACAGGAAAACATTGTGAGTGCCAACAGATCCCCTAAACCGTGGCTGAAGCTCTGCATCTCTCTGGTCAAGGGGAAGGTCTTTCCCCATGGATTTGCCCTAACAAAGCCAATTTGTTCTAGCCAAGGGGAAACAAGCTCTCTTGGATGCACCGTAGCACTGGTTAGCTGCAGGCAGTCAATAAATAATCAAGAGATTAAAATGTGGGGGGAAATCCCAGGCCTTCAGAAATGTTGCCATTGGTTTCATTGTCAGCAGGATTTCACCTGAGGTGCACATGGTTTTCCCTGGGGAGAAGCCAGAAGGCCCTGGGGAAGGACAGGCATGGGAATGATGGAAGTTGATACTTCTCTACCACATACATAAATGCACGTGTGATGTTTCCTTCTGGTAATGACTGCCTGCAACAGTACTGCATGGGCAAGTACGCAGGATTTGAGAGTGAACAGTCCCGATCCTGCACCCATTTAAGCAGATTACAGTAACCTCAACATGCAGAGGATTAGGCCCAAAATGAGTAAATGCCCCTCCACTAGGCTTGAGAGGAGCTGTGGCTGTTCAGGACTGCCTTTCATTAATTCAGTTAAACAGTGGTCTAGCATGAGTGTATTTTTAAATCGTTTGGTCAAAAACACTCACCATCGCAGAAAAAAAAAATAATTTTTCTAGAAAAAAATCTAGAGGAAATATGGTAGCTTAATCAATGCCCCGGACAACAACAGTTTTGGTTTGTTTTGATATTTTTTTAAACAAGTGATGGCACTTGAAACTGAATTTAAAGTGAGCATCACTAAAGACTAAAGGCTTGGGAATAGCAGCATTAGTTGAGATTGAATTAAAATTTTCTACATTCATGTAGCCAGATGAACAGACTCTTGTTCATATGATGGTTTTAAAAACTGGTCCTTGTCCGGCCAAAAGGTCCCAAGAAGTTTCTGTAGTGGAATATACCACTGTGTGTTCGAAAAGGTATTTGGTTCTGGCACAAAACTCATCGTCTCCAGTAAGTGTTTTCAAATACTTTTTTTTTTTTTAAGTTTTGTAATGGGAAAGCTTTGAAGTGAAGGTTGCCAGCTCTTTAAGGTATCTGGGGAAGCTCACATTAGTTCAGGACTATACTATGTTATTATCAATGATAATACCTGAAGTCACTGGCAAGCAGGACAAGAACGCTGTTTATGAGCCGAGTGTGCTGGGTGCTCTCAGCTCCCACTGGCTTGAAGGGGAACTGAGGAGCTTTGAGTATCAGACAAAATTACTGCATTTTGTGGGATCATCCAAGTAATGAGAATTAAAATTTCAGCTTAAGAACACATTGACTTTATTTATAGATCTTATTTATAGATACATACAAAGAAACTGTAGAGGAGTTTCATTATGAAAACTGTTGACAGCTAATCTATAAAAACATGTATTTTGAACCCAAATTCATTAATAGCTCATTGATTACAAGCCTAACTCCAGAATTTTATTTGCACAATATTTTTCAAGCTCACTGCATTATTACAAGAAAGAAAAGACAGATTTTAGCTTAAGAAATACCTGAACTTGCTTATATATTATTTTAAAAAGTAAGACCTGTGTACCTTTTAAAACCTGCCTTAGAAAACTGTTTAACAAAGTAAACAGCAACATTTTTGAAACTTCAACTAAACCAAAAAAGGCAGCAGAATGGAAGTTCATGACTTTAAAATCCTTCAGAAAGGATCAGATCATTTGCCCAGAAAAGCCAGTGTAAACTGTCTTGTTGACTTCAATGACTTTACAGATCAGCCTGAAAATACATCAAAATCTACAGCCAATTATACAAGTTTTCATCCTTTTTTCCATAAACATACCAACAGCTTATGGAGATACATATATATTTTTTTCCCCACACAAACATATATATACATGTATATATGCAAAACTTAATTTGTTCAGTTCTCCACTGTCATCCATTTACCTATGTGTGTACATGAGACTCCCCTATGCATGCACACAGTATTCAAGCAATATGTTTCCTCAGTATTGTGATATGATTTAAGAGTTTCATTTAAGCTAAGCACCTAGGGTCTTTTTATGGTAAATGGAAAGACACTGGCAATTCCAGAGGTGGAAATTATTCTATCTTAATAGAAGTCCCTAAAACGGGCAGGATGAACTACCAACTAGAAGCATCTCTCTCTGCCTGTCTATTTAGATTTGATAATCCAAGAGAATAACATCAAACCAGACAAGTAAATTTTAGCCTACTGAAATTAGTCAGGGTAACTTACTAAGCTTTGAAAACCTAAAAGAAACACCTAAAATAGTCATGAGGCTTTGCAGAGTGCAATGTCACTGGGACAGGAGCTACATCATGGTCTTCTGAACATATACAACTCTGGAACAAATAAATGATTTTAGAAATTAGTTTAATCTTGCATCCCTGGGAGGACTGATGCATAACGAAGATAAAATTAACCACTAAATGAATGTTAGAGAACCATAAAATTGTTAGCAATTTTATTTCTGGTACAACAGAACTCAGTCCACAGCTTCATTTCAATGACAAATCTCCAAAATGAAGGAAATTGATAATATAAGGCTTATCTTTTTGAAGATAGACAGCCTTATGCTTTGGTCACCTTTGTTTTTAAACACTGAGTATGAAATACTTCAGAGAATCACTAAGTTGTTTTAGGGGGGATGCAATGTAGAAGATTGCTCTAGAACAGCCAGATCATTTAAAGAAAGGTGGAAGCTTTTTGGCAAAAATACATGTTTATAATAATGTGTTCTCTCACAATGCATGAAAACTGCACCACTCAGCCAGACCACACTTTAAACCCTGTGCATCTAGCTGCTCAAATTCAGTGGCAGAAATTTACATAGGAATCTAAAGAAAAAGAGTGGTGTAAGGAGATGGACACCCAAAATGTCTCTGCTGCCTTAAAAAAAAATCTTAGGCAGTACCTTCTACATACCTTCTTCTGAAAACTGTATCTAGTCTTCGCTTCCAGTTAAGCACAGACAAAAACAACTGCCCATGAGCACTGCCTATGCATGCACTGCAGACGTTCAAGTTTAATTAAAACAGACTTTTAGGTTTACTATCCACTTTTATAATACCAAAATGTCTTCTCTCTGTGGACAAAATCTGGATGATTTGGACTCCTCCTAGTAACATAAGGTTTAATCCAGAGAGGCAAACAAAATGGAGATTACCTACAGTTAGCTTGTGGAAACAGCTCACCTTTCATTTAAAATATATTCACATATGTTCATAGTGAGCATGTTTCACAAAGCACATCACCTACAACAACTGTAGCATGGATAGATATGCTATTTGGATATAGAAACATTATCTAGATATAGCATGTTCTTCTGCTTTAGTTTAGTTTTTTTTTTTTCTTTTCAGATGTGTTAATTCAAACATTTAAACAAATCTAGTATTGAAGGAACCACATTGCCAGACTTTGGGGTCCAGAGCATTTTGTGATTCCGTTTTCCTGTCTTTATCAAGATCATCACCTGGCAAATACACAGCAGGTCTTCAAAAAAATGGCAACAATAAATTTCTGTTGCCTTTTTTTACCCCCCCAAAAATCACAAAATTAATATCAGTTTTAAAAAAAAATTAATTAGATATACCAGATGTTCATTAATTAGCAATGGGGACTTATACTGGGGACATAAAACTGCAAAGCTTTGAAAGGTGGTCTACCTTTAACATTCTGTAGACAAACTTTTCATGTAGTTGTTTTTCCATAAACATTATAAAGCAGTATTAACTTCCTCTTATAAAATAAATGAACAAAGCTTTTTCAGGAACTATTACTCTTATTTAATAATTGTCAAAGACTTGTGCAGACAAATACACTTTCTGACAGCAGTACTGCTCAGAAGGCCATGGGATATAGGCTTTCATGTAGTCGCCTGAAGTTTTCTAACTCAGTTTCAAGGGAGATTACTAATATCTTCACCAATATTTCAGTTTCTTAATATTTCTCAAAAATAATTTTTCAAACAGTTTTGAGTAGGTTTCTAAGGTTTTAAATAACCAGACTTAAATTTATTTTTCTAATAAAATACTCAAGAAATCTTTTGTGAGATACTTTTTAATCTACTCTAGTATTAGAGTATTAAAGAGTAGACCTAGTCTACTCTAGTCTTTCTCTATCAGATGTGTTGCTTGACAAGAAGCATGAACAAAGCAGTCTAGATGTTAGTGTTCACTAAACAATTTAGGACTTAAATAATGTTTCTCCATGCACATGGCATAGTATCAAAGCTTACATCAAACATTCTCCAGACTCTGGAAGACTCTATATTATCTAAACAAAAATGAGTTTAGAATATTTGAATTGAGTCTTGTCTTCTGATCTTGAGCCTGGTTTTCTGTACCATACCCATAAAATCTCTATTCATTTTAGTTCGCCATAAAAGAACACATTTAAAAATAAGGTTAAAAGTCATATTTTCTATTCCAAATTATTCTAAATAGTATTGTAATTGGTTTTGACTGAAAATTAAAACTTGACATTTGGGTCCCTTTAAATAATATTTAACATAAAGTGTGTTTGAATGCCAAGTTTGTCCAGCTCGCCAAAAACTTATTTTTACTTCAAGGATGGAAGCAGCTGTAATTCATCCATCCTGCTACCTAAAATTCCTTTTATACATGAGACATTTCTATTCCCATCCTAAGTATTTCACAACAAATTAGAGAGCTAAAACATTTGTTAATAAGACATTTAGGTTGTTGCTCTTCAGAATTTATATTTTATGGCTGCATATTTATTTACTGTACACTATTGATCTTCCAACCCTCTGTTTTGTTAATTTTTTTCTTCCAATAATCAATCCAGGCAAAGCAAGTTCTCAACCGGCACACTCTGAAATCCTGCAGAAAAAACATGAAAATGAGACAACATATGTTTGCCTTATTGAGAAATTCTACCCAGAAGTTATTCGGGTGACATGGACCGATGAAGCACATAAGGAGGTAACAGACAACGTAGTACAAGGAGACCTTTGGAAGGCCACAGAAGAGGGTGAATACTCAATCAGCACCTGGTTAACTGTATCAGCAGCAAACAAAGACAAGAACTATCACTGCAAATACGAGCATGAAAGCAATGAGCATTCACTGCAAACACAAGGTACATACTACATGTTAAAAATTTCATTCTACGTATTATTACAGACCTCACTTTTTCTTTGCAATAAAATTATAGAAATAATGCTTTCTATTACTGTTCCTGAAAGCATCTGTGCTCCTTGGCACAACAACAGCTAAAATACACATCCAAAGTTTCCCCACAAAAAGCAGCCCAGCCTGTGCTATGCTCCCCAAGTGAATGCCCCTTTGTAACAGGTAAAGAGCAGTTCTTGAACCTCATCAGGTATAAACTAGCATAGCTCCAAAAGGGCTGCACTGAGCCGTGCTGGTTACTTTCCAGTCTACAGAAGTTTCTGAAAACAATATTACCTCTCTGTTACCCATGGCTTACAGGTGTAAGTCCCTCCGACACCTCCTGACATTAGTCACAGCTATAAAAAACTAAGGAGTTAAAAACAAGGTTGCTGGGGATGTAGTGGAAAGTTTAAATATATTACTTACTCATAGTCCAGCAAAAGTGAGGTAATGACCATGTATGAAAATAAGATATCTCATTTAATTGTGGAAAGATTGATTACGCAAAGCAAAATCTGAAAGACAATGCAATTTTAAAGAAAAAAGTAACCTATAATAAATCCAAATTGTTTAAATCATGGTAATATCTTTAAGAAAAGCTGCCTATATTAGTTTAGATCAATCTTTGCTCAGTACCTACCTCAGTTCAACTTACTATAAATTAAGGTGCGTGAGAGCATGGCCATGAATAACCATTACATTTCAACCTTCAAAATACATTCTGACAAAAACATGCTTTAAGTTTTAGGTGGAGGATGTATTTAGTAATACAGATGTCTTTAAGACCACGTATCAATGCATACAAACACCGTAAGCAAGAACAAACACAAATTTGCTGTTTCAAGCACAAAAAGGGTTTATTTTAAAAGGACAACCACCACCAAAACAGCAAATTCCCAATAGGGGAACCTTAGATCATACTCTCCTCTAGAGTATTCTTTAGTGTTGAGCAACCATTAAGTATACACACTAATTGAGGTCCCTTCTGACGTAAATTATTCTGCATTTCTAATAACAGTACTTTGTGAAGGCAAACAGACTGCAGTTACTTCAGTGACAAGATCAGGGGTCAAATTGACTGCAGTTCCAAATAAAAGAGACTCTGCCAAGGAACAGCCTAATGGACACATTCCTGAAAGGGCAAAGGCAAACCTCCCACTTATAGCAACAAATACACAGTCACTTCTCTACAAGCATTTCCCCCCTTCAAATTCTCTCTGCAAATGAATCCTACTGGTGAACATCTGCTCTGCAGACAGATCTTGAACATCTTTTTTTGTTGTTTAATATTAACTTCCCATTTCACCGTTGATGTACTGCCTCTTTTTTTCCCTATTTCTCAATTTCTGTTTGTTAAAATTAAATAAAAACCTAATTGGGGCATTTAAACTCTCTTTCTATTAGAATTTAACAAGCCGCCTTCTCAGGAAGAGGACTGCAGCACATATCCTGGGAACAGCACAGTTTTTAACAGAGGTAATTAAAAAGTATTAAAATGTGGGAAAGTGATGCATGTCATGCAAGACTTAGATATTGCTACATCAGAACATCATGAAAATCATCTTTCTAGATAGCGGACAGGAAATCTTTTAAGTCTGGGGTCTGTAACTTAAAAACGCTTCAGTGCTACTCTGAATTAACTTCTGTTGTGGATTATAAGAAGGGGCTCTCCTACCTTTATTAGGTAGCTTTATTAGGAGCTTTCTTACAATGCTACAGATGCCGTTCGGGCTATTAGATTATTAGCCTGCACTGAGTGCCACTTTTTTGAGTACCTGAAGTAGTTAAATGCTCAACGCTTCAGCTGATGCTCCATCAGCCTAGCAATTGCCCAGCACTTTGGACAAAGAAATTTTATTTCAGCTTGAACGGGGATTTAGGAAGAATCATGAACACTTACGTTAAAAAAATCCAACACCAAAGGATTCAAGCAAACATGATGCTACTGGTGATCAGTGCTGCAAGCACTAGAATTATGTTCTTGCTTTTGCCGGGAATAATAACCCAGTGGCATTGAGAAGCAGTCTAATGCTAAGAAACCTGCTTGATATAGAATTTATTAGCAGCGGAAACTCACTCAAAGGACAGTCAGACATTGTATGTGTTTATACACTGTCCACTGGAATCAATGTAATTGCAGCAGTAAACAGACTACACAGTCCCAGTTCTACCAATCTTTTAGGAGGTTGTACAATATTGACATTAAACAAGACTTTTCTGTCTTATGTTTGTTACAGATCACTTAATGCACAGGACAGCATATTTAGTGTACATTGTCCTTCTTCTGAAGAGCTTCATATACTATCTAATCGTACTCTTCTTCATCTACAGAAGGTGGGCTCCAACCAAGCATGAAGGAAAGAAAGCATAAGTGGTGGTTTAGGAAAGGCTTACAAAATCGTCTTCAATTTGCTTTGCTATGTACTTATCCAGATAGACTCCCCTGCTCTCAGTTTTAGATGGAACAACAACAAAAAAATCCCAAAATAATTTTCTGGCATTAGTGCACAGGGCTTGTTTTGCTTTATTGCTAGTGTTTTAATAACTGTCTGGTTTTCCTAATTTTTCTGAGTATTAAACTGAAGTGGGCAATAGGAGTAAGGTTACATACCTTGAATTTTAATCCAAAATCCATATTGCAAAACGAGGAAGGTACTCATGTTAAAAGTAGTTACGCATGCAGAAGTTTAGAGATGTAACTGGGCTTTTGACATATAAAGCACAGATGCATTTTATCATTGCACTTAAGGCTTAATTAGGAGCATTCCTATGCTGTAAATTCACAGGCATTTGTTCATTTTTACTTTCAATGATTTATTGCAACTCATGTATCCACTAAATCAGGACTTAAATATTCTGAAGTGATGTGTGCTTTAAGAGTCAATTAAACACAACTTTAAAAAGTGAACATAATATTTTTGAATTAAGAAGTCAGACAAGCATAAAAGCAATTCTAAGGTGCACAAGTACAGAAATGGAAGAAATCCACCAGGCCCCACACCAACACTGTGGCACAGACTGAAAATCTGCACATTGGACTTTTAAAGAAAGAAAACAATTGTAATAATCATGAACATCATCCTGTTTAGAGATACCTTTTTGAGTTGAGCAAAACCTTAAATCTGAAGCTTTGATAGAAAAAGTGTTTTCACAACAGAGGAAAAATTCTCAGATGTTGGACTTTGAATTCTTCATCTCCAAGTTCCACAAATCAGTTCCTTTCAAATTTCTGTGGAAAAATCGGAAGTAGTCACACTGGGGTAAAGCATTTGCTCAGTTTGGGGCAAAACACTACCCAAGTTTGGAGATAAGTGCCTGCAGCAGTTACACTCACTGTATCCGTAATGATGTAGAGGGCAATAAAAGCTTTCCTCCAGGGGCATTTGTGAGGCCTGTGTTTGTTCTCCAGCATTTCCACAGTATGTACCAAGATGGCTAGAAAACCTGAATTCATTTCTATGTTTGTATAAATTCCTCAGGAAATCAAAGATCCTTAAAACCATCAGTTTTCTGCTTTTCAGCATATTAAACAGGAACACTTTTACACAGAACAATAAAAGCTAGCTTATTACATCTTTTTGTTGAAGAGCTAAGCCAAGCCAGGGGTAAATGCAGTGCTGTTACAACAGGACTGCCTTCTAGGGCTCATGCCAGCGCAAGGGAAGGAGAACATAAGTCAGGCTCAGTTCTAACGACCACAGCTATTTTACTAACAGCATATCTTACAAGCTATTTCACAATCTGCATATTGAAGCCAACACAACTAATCACTGCCTTCAGTGTCACATCACTCTTCAATGCAAAGAAAGATGTGATGTCTAGTCTTCAGTCAAACTCTCTTTGAGAAACAGCTGGTATCCCATGCTATTATTTGTTAAGGCTTGGTTCCAATCAAAGTGAAATAAAATAGCTACAAAGGTATTTCTGGAATGCCATTACCGTAGATTTCACTAGCATCGTTGATATTACTGCCCTAGTCTCCCCTACCTTTATCCCTGCTAGAGAAACGCTTGATTGCATTAATGAACCAAGATCTCTTTCACCAAAATGATTCCCCAAATCCACTTGTCATGTCTCATACACGGAACTGAAAGATGCTGTCCACGCAGCACAGGAAAACAGAGAGAAAACACAGCTTTTTAAGCTTTTTGCACAAAACCCCCTGCCTACATGCAACCCTAAACCATGCTGAGCATAGCTATCACCTCACTGTTTCTGGGCTTTCTCAAGTACATGGTTGCAGGTTTTACATCTGCAATAGCTCACGTGTCCCTGAAGTATATTTATACAGGCATATACTGTTCATACTAAGTTTTCAATTTTTATTTATTTAGCACAATAAGAGGATGAGTGGATTTTTAAGGCTTCTGGGTGCTCGGGTGTTTGTTTGCAGGAAGGCTTGGTTATTTAGTGGAAAAACCCTGTAAGCTGAACCAGTCACAACTGGTTCAGAGGAGGTGGGCTGTGATGAGAATGGGTGATAAGCTGAGGACAGTTAGACCACAGCCGTCCTGCCTTTTACCACAGTGTACTTCTGAACCATTTCCTTCTAATGGAAATACAAAGTGATAAAAACCACATGCCTAAGTTACATGTAAATAACACAGTGAAACTCACTGTTCGCTACACGTGTTGGTCATGCTTGTGATACGTACGTGTAGGGGCTATTGCTACCACAAAAACATGGGTGCCGCAGGATGTCTGCAGGACTTATTTATCATGAGTGCACGACAGAGTTAGATGTTATCTATTAAGTGTAAAATTCTGTTGTCAGGACTTTGTTAACACTTGAAAGACACGTCTTCTCAAGTACATATCTTACCACGACTGATTTTCAGTGATTTCAAGCTTCTACAACCATGAGCATTACAGCTGCTCTACTCCTGTTACAGAGTTGCAGAATTACTGCAAATACTACAAAGGTGGTTACAGGCAATCTGGTGCTTCTAAGGAAGAGACAGAATGGGATCAACTTTTGCCCTGAAAGCACAAAGAAGTAAACATCACAAATGAATTTATTTGTGGAAAGGGATTTGTAACGTATTCCTTATCTTGCTAGAATAATTTTGTGTCCTATACTGTACAATAACTTACATGCTTGAGAATATTGACTTCTCAACTATCAAAATAACCTACAGCAGGTAATACAGAAAACTACCCATGGATTCCTCTCACATGTAGTTTTAAAGATCTGCATAAGGATTATAGGAGTCTTTCAACAGCTAATTTCTGTTGATACTAGGTACCAACACTAAGAAATTTTAAAAGAGATTCAAATAGTGGACTACTCAGTTTGAGATTTTGAAACTGTTGGAGTACCAGCACACACTTAGAAAGTGCTAAGGAAATAAAAAATATCAGTGGAATAGTTCGAGAATTCATTCCTCTGCACCTATAGATATTTACAGGGAAATAGATCGAATGATTATTAACAACAAGTAATTGACAAGTTTTACCTAGTGAGTCCAAACAATCATTAAATATAGTTCCACCATAGATAAGTTTTACTTCATTGTATTACCAGTCTCTTGATAAGGTACACAAGACAGCACTTTCCAGTAATTATCTAGTTCTTGGAAAGCTAACCTGAGGAACTACTGAACAGGTCTTGCACAAATATTTTCATATCACTTGGGAGGCAACCTAACACAAAGATGTATCTTCTTGACGTATGTGTGAGATATTACAGCACACGGGAACCATTCGCTTTGTTTTCTAATGAATAAACTCTCCTGCCAGCAGCTCCGGCAGCAAGTCAGCCACAGTCTCTGTTGCCACAGTTGCCAATCCCCACAACTTCCCCCAGGGATTTTCTTTTACAGAAGCCAGGATGAATGAAGATGAGAGTCAAATCAACAGATATTGAAAATGAGGAGGCTCAAAAGAAAAGGCCACCCACTGTTCCCAATGAGCATTAGAAAATTTCAAATCAGAAGCTTCAGCTTCTCAAGATTTCGTTCCTCCCCCAGCTGGAGCTTTCCCATTTGTGGCAAAATGAACACATGGGGCAAGATAATCCTGAAAAAAAAATGAAGTCATTCCCAAAATGAGGAAATCATCTCTCATATTCAACCAAAGCACACAACAAAAAGATGCAGGTCTCTGCTGTGACAAAGTGCTTGAAGGCCCCCAGAAAAAAGCTTAGGTGGTCACAGGGCTACATGCCCAGAGACAGCTCACGCGGTAGGCACTGCTTTGCAGGAAGGTGGCTTGATGGATTAGTCACTTCCCTTCCTGGAACAGCATAACTGCCCATCATTCTGAGGCTCAAATTGTAAAATAACAGTAGGAATAAACTGTTTCCAGGCTGATTTTGTACATGCTACTAGCAGAATGATTACTTGGCAAGCAAGACTGCATATCTACTCCCTTCACCTCTAATATGAAGTCTCTAGCCATTTTCAGGTAATTTAATGTAATTTCATTTCTTATATCCATAAAGGGTGTTTGAACCAACACTATTTGCTTGACAGCTGGGGCAGACTAGCAGAAAGAAAATGCACAAACTGTTACTGGGGCTTAAGTGGCAGCTCGCTGAATTCAAAGCAATGCCAGTCACAGGCCCCTCACCACCACATGAAATATGAAGCATGGCAGCTGAATGCACATGCGGCATTAACCTGGCTAACCTGCAATGGACAACACATTAGCTCGTTCAACTCATGCAGGTGGATAGGGAGGAAGAGAGGGAATAGAAGGATGGGGAGTGAGAAACATCAGCCATTTCTATCTTCAAGTACGGTCACAAATATAGGAACAAAAGGACAGCACTTCCAGAGTGAGCAGACAGCCTTTCAAAACCTTCTGAATCTTCAAGTTTGACTGTTATACCCACAGCAAAAGGCTGGACCTCCTCTTAAAAATATTAACAGCTTTTGTTCCGCAGTTTCAATCTACTTTTTTTGGTGAAAGCACCGTTTCCACCAACATTCCTCAAGCCACCAGCAACCAAAACCAGATCACTGAGCCTCTGTTATGTTTAACTAAAATACATTTTCCTTTTGAGTCATTAGTGAGTTGTTAGTCCACAGTACTCCCAGGGATCATGCCACTGCATAAGGTTTCAAGAATCTCCATGCAGAAAAGACTGACAGTACCTGAAGCCCCAGCAGCCTGCCCAGTAAGCAGGGTATTTCATTTGTGACCTGTATTTCTGTAACCCAAATTTTCCCTCTCCGGTGTCAAAAACAGACCTTAATTTGCAGTGCACTGGTACAGCACAGCAGTATACTCTTCGTTGTCCTGATGCTTCATCACCTCTAGATGGAGCTGTAAGTCACATCTTATGCCAAGACCCTGCAAGGTTTCTTACTGTTTTATCGAGTTCTAACTCCTCTTGAGAAAGCTTTTAATATCTGTCTTGAATATACT